CATATACACAGTACGTCCGTTCATCATACTTATCCGGCTCAACTTTCGCCTTCACAAACACAAAACAACATTCAAAACTCCATCTTTGACTACAAAAAGAAAAACCATAAAAGGGAACTAACTACAGAGAAACAACAATTACTACTACTACTACGCCTCAATCCCAACTCGAACAACAACAACAATTACTTTGCCTCAAATTCCAAGCAAGTTGGGGTTGGCTATATGATCCTTACCAACCATGCAACTATATTCAAAAACCAAAAGAAGTTCAAATCTTAACTATACCCCTGAAAACAGAACACCAAAAACATTTAATCTTCAACTAGACTCATTAGCAACAACAACAACATACCTCTACAATTCCACTATGGGGAGAGTAGAGCTATGTTGCTTGGACTCTTCATGAATGCCGATGGTGCATGTCAGATCCTTCCAAAGTAGTGCATTTTTGGAGGATACGACATGGTGCGGCAACATTTATGGAGAGTAAGAGCAACATAGGAGTAGAGTGTACACAAACCTTAACCCTACCTTGGGAGATAGAGAGATGGTCTCTGATAGACCCTTGGCTCAAGGAAGACTCATTAGCAAATAAAACCAAAAACTCAATCTTCACAACACCAAAAAACAAAAACCAAAAAATTCAACTTTTAACTATTCAACACCATCCAGAAATACCAAACACCCCAAAGAAGCAAATCAATCCTTAGCACCACAAGAAACCAAAAACATCCAACACAATCCAAGTTTTAACTACAACCAGAGACCAAAAACACACTAACACAAAAAATCAGTCTTTTACCTATATCCAAACACTAAGAACCAAAAACCCAATCTTTAACTATACCCAGAATCACCAAACACCCAAAAAAAAATCAATCTTTAGCAACACAAGAAACCAAAAACATCCATGAAAATCCAATCTTTAACTATACCCATAAACAAAAAACACCCAAAAATTCAATCTTTAACAACACAAGAAACCAGAAACATCCAACACAATCCCAATCTTTAACTAAACCCAGCAACAAAAACACACTAACACACTAAAAAAAACACAATCTTTACCTATCTCCAATAAACAAAGAACCCAAAAAAACAATCTTTAACTATACCCACAAGCAAAAAACATAGAAAATATAAGATAAGCTCAAAAGGGTACCGTGCTACGACGTCGTTCAGCACCGACAGCAAGAACAAAAGCAATGAGATGAAGTGCAATAACAATTACAAGAACAGGAATAGAAACCGCCATTACTGGCCAAACTAGAAAACAAATTTTTTCACTTTCTCCTTCTTTATAATTTCTCAATCAAATTCACTGTACTTTTTTTTTATTATTGGCTAAATGGGTGCTTTTACTTTACTTTTATTCGAATATATATTTAGCACTTAGCAGCTGCTTTTTTGAAGTTTTGAGTTACTATAACAAGTGTATATCATTTTTGTAACTTTATGAGAAAAATGATTAATCAAATAGTGTTTTTGGATGGTAGGGTCCTCCTCCTCCTTCCTTGTTTGATAGTGACTGTGTACAGTACACTAATGAGTGTCCGAGTTGCGAATTAAATTATCTCGAGATTATTGTTCACAATAGAAAGTTGAATAGAATTAAGTAAGATATTTAAAAAAAAAACATTTTTTTTTTACTTTCAATAGGTGAAATATAAATTTATTTCAAATTTAATTTTGAATATCTCGTCTTTATCTCATGAATCGACCAACTTTTTTCTTTAAGCAAAGAAAGTAAAATGTGAAAAGTTGAAAGAGCATAAATGTAGAGCTGGAGTTTGGGTGGCTGCCGGTTATCCGGTTGTTCTTCACCGGCTTTTCTGCATTATTTTCCTTTTTGAGTGATTTTGTATTAAAAAAATATTTTCAAGAAACTATTTTTAAATTTATTAAACCAATTGAGCAGGTCATTTGAAGGTGGTACTCTCCACATAATTTTCTTCATACTTGGAATATTCGCTTGAACTCGAGACCTAGTTAAAGATGGAACAGTCTCACATTATACCATAACTCATATTGATCGCTTTCTTTGTGCACTTTCTATTAAAAGTTATCTTCAAAATATATTTTTATATTTAAAAATAATTTAAGGTTAAATTTATTATTGCTCAAATTAGTCATATATATGGGAAATTTTAGAAAATAGACATAATAAGGCTCTATAGCTATAGTATCGACAATTGAGCTCCATAGTTATAGTTTCGTTTGCTATGGAGGTTACCGTTTATATATTTCGCTTGCGAATATACAGATAAGATAAGTATATACAAATTCTATATTCATACATTTAGGAATTTTTCAAAACTCCGTTTGTGTATTTCGCTTGTCAATATACAAACAGAGTAATTTATTATGAATTTTTTATAAACCGTATACAAATAGTTAGGGTAAGCATATACAAAATTCTTGATTTATACAATCAAGAACCAAATTATACAAATTCTGAATTTATACAAATCAGTGAATTCAAGAATTTGGGAAACTACAACCACAAATTGTAATTTTCTCAAATTGTAGCTATAGTATTTAATATAGGCTAAATATTTGTTATTCTGCATAATTTTTCCTATATATTAACATGGATCCAAGCAAAGCCCAATCCTCTTATTGGGTTGTCTAGTTCATGGCCCTCTGTTTATATAACTGGCCCATAAACTTCACACAAATTGATCTTTTGAATTCACCTCAAGCTAAAATGGCAAATATGATTCACCAATCTTGGGAGGAGTTGGGTTATCTCTATTACTTGTATTTATTTTAATTTCAATATTTAGTTCTTGTACATAAAAATGAGATTAAGGGTATGTTCGGTATGATAGAAAATGTTTTCCTACGTACTGAACACACCTTAAGTGATGCTATTACACACTCTTTCCGGAAAGGTTGTTTTTAGAAAATCCTTCTTGCTTCGAGCTACTATTTCAACTATCATATAATCTCCCAACATGCTCATGAACCTAAAGTCATTGGAATCGCTAGCTTGATTATTGACCAATTCAAAAGCAAATTTTACTGAATTTAGCCGAGTCTGGGTGTTTCTAGGGATTTGAGTCATCTATGATTGAAAAGTGTTTTACTTCTCAAAGTGAGACCTTTTAGTGCTAATATATGAAGTTCAAAATGTATATCGAACCTTGAGTAGGGAAAAAAAAGTGTTCAATACAAGCTTGTGATTTAGGATGATTACAAATCGATTAAAAAAAAGATAACTTGTTAATTATTAAATCAATTCTTAATTAGGATCAAGATAATTAGTACTCTAGTGTATAACTCTATATATCATGATCTAATCCACATTAAATTTTATAACAGGAAGAATCTTATCTTGATGGACCTTTTGCTTTATTATTAGTTATAATATAATTTTATGACAAAACAAGAAAATAGAGAAAATTTAAAGTTATCTTAAATGTTCAAAATGTGATTATGCCAAATTAGAACATGGCTACATTCAAAGCACCAATTGGTTAACAGTAGAGATTACAAATAGCCGACTATTAAGAAATTAATATACTACTAGTTGTGTCTATTAATAGGTGGTTGTGAAATTTTTAATTTTGGTTGTACCTTATCTTAAGTTGAAAATTTATTGATATTAAAAGGAAACATACATTTACATTATAATCAATATTAATACATTGATAATTTCTTAAATTTATCATCAAATTTCATTTGGACGTTCAACTATAACTTGATTCAGTTGAAGTACATCTGAACATAGATAATGGAAACCGTAGGGAAATCCACAATCTCTGCCTCTGTTTTTTGGGTGAACACTTTGTGGTGAGCACTTTGTGATAACCTACTCATTATGCAATAACTCGCAAATCACACATGAGATGTAAATCGCATCAAACAAGCCTCATACGACCAACTCATAGCTAAGTAATTATAACGAGGCTGAATTCGATCCTAGGTCTCCCACATGGAGACCCACCTCCCAACCACTCAACCAAAATTTCGAAAGACAGATGAAAAGAAAAATAAAAATTTATTTGCATCCAATGAATACTTGACATATATTTTATATATATTTATCATTAATTCAAAATTAATCAATTATTCTCGTCTTTATTTGTAACTTTACCAAGATAAATTTATTTGACACCGATGCAAATAATTTTTTACACAAAAGTTATATAAAAATATCTATTTTCTAATCTCGAATAATCTTCATCTCATTTTATTGACTACTAGGTCACACCTAAAAAAAGTCGAAATGTAAAATTATAAATATTATCCAAAATAAAGCACCTCTAAAATCCAGGTGGCATATTCGTCAAGATGCGTTTTAAGCTTTAATACACTCATTAGCACGTCAGCAATATTATCAAGCCGTTTGACTTCTAATTTAATTTTTAGATAATGCTAAAAAAAAAGATTTACAATATTGCAATATAAATTAATAATAATTAATAATAAAATTCTTTAATCTTGAGAAAAAAACTAGAATTTTGAATTTTTAGATTTTACATTAACTAATATACATACAAATACAAAGTTTGAGTCAAAACTATTGAATTTCATGACATAGAGTTGCAGTATCATATTCACCTGAACCCTGTATTTTCGATTCGACTCATAATTCATGTATAAATAATCAAAATGGACCCATAAATTTAAAAATAGCTAAGAACCTCAAAATCGAACCTCCAAACCCTAAATTCCGACTTTTCTTATGACTAAACTCGTAAGCTGATCTGTAGCTCCGCCTTACCAAATACCAACCAATCAAACCCACTATATTTGTTTTATGTGGCCACTCGACTACGCCTATCCCTTAATTAATTTTATTTATTTATTTATTTGCATGATTTACCCCTATATATATCTTTCTAATATAACCATAAATTAGTAACACATACATAAACTTGGTTGTGATCACGACCTTATTCATAGTCTTAAATATTTCAAAAAGAATATTTTGAAAGATTTATATATATATATATATATAAAATAAAAAAAAAATTATCTCTATAAATTAAAATTGTTTTTCTTGGATTTTGAAGTATAGAGAAATTAAAGATGGCTCCAGATCTATCAATGATTCTTCCTAGGGTTCTAATCGTTTCTAGAAGAACTGTTCGTAAGAACAAATTTGTTGATTTTGTTGGTAAGTAGTCGATCGATTTCTCTTTTTATTTTAATTTTATATGTGAAATTAAATTTCGTTGTTAATTTCATGTTTTTTTTATTAGAGTTGTTCTTTTGATAACTAAAAAGTGTAGCATGACTGAATCTAATTGAGGTTCGTGTTAGTGGAGGAATTGGATTGGGGGATAAAAGAGGGATTTTTGTTGTAAGATGTTTTATGAATAAAAACATATTAATTATGACATCTTTGAAAAATTGTTACATTAATTGTTGTGATGGTTTATACTTTTCTAGTTTTTATTTTCTTTAAATTCTTGTTGATAATTGATAAGCAAAAAGATCTATCAAACATATATATGTGTAATGAATTGTGTGATCAACTTATCTGAATTGTCTAAAGGGCATATTTGAATTTACTTGATTATATGTTCAACGTCTGTATGCAGGTGAATATCACTTAGATCTTATCGTGAGTTATGGAGCAGCGCCTGTTATAGTACCGCGAGTTAGTGGTGTACACATGTTACTAGAAAGTTTTCAACCAATTCATGGAGTTCTTTTATGTGAAGGAGAAGACATTGATCCATCACTTTATGATAGTGATGAATTATCTGGATTATCACAAGAAGAGCTTGAAGAAATAAAAAAATTACATTCAAGTGACACAACAATTGATAAAGAAAAAGATTCAATTGAATTAGCACTTGCAAAACTATGTCTTGAGAGGAATATACCTTATTTGGGAATTTGTAGAGGTTCACAAGTCCTTAATGTTGCTTGTGGTGGCACCCTTTATCAAGATTTGGAGAAAGAATTGTCCAAGAATTATCAAACGCTATCTCGTTCAGACTCTCCAGAAATGTCATTGATGTTGCACCCGTGTCTTATTGGAGAATTAGACATGAACCCGTCGGGGTTATTGAAGTGCTTGAACACCATAGAGAAAGAATTGACCAAGAACTGCAAAAACCTATGTTGCTCAGACTCTTCAGAAATGTCAGATATGCAACCATCGACAATATTGAAGTCGTGTCCGAGTGATATAGAGAAAGAATTGTCCAAGGATTGCAAAAACCTATGTTGCTCAAACTCTTCAGAAATGTCAGACATGCAACCATCGACAATGTTGAAGTCATGTCAGAGTGTTATAGAGAAAGAATTGTCTAAAAGTTGTGAGAAGCTATGTTGCTCCGACTCTTTAGAAATGTTGTCACATCCATCAACATTGAAGAGTCAAAGTCAGAGTCAGAGTCCGAGCGACATAGGTAAAAAGTATGAAAAAGTTGTACATATGAACTATGAAAACTATGATGGACATAGACATGCGGTGAAAATAGTTGAAAATACACCATTACACAAATGGTTTAAAGAGTCATTAGAAGATGATGAAAAAATGGAGATTTGGGTTAATAGTTATCATCATCAAGGAGTTAAGAGATTAGCACAAAGATTTGTGCCAATGGCATTTGCTAATGATGGATTAATTGAAGGTTTTTATGATCCAGATGCATATAATCCTCAAGAAGGTAAATTTATTATGGGATTACAATTTCATCCTGAACGTATGCGTGGACAAGATAATGGTGATTTTGATTATCCAGGTTGTGCTATGGCTTACCAGGTACTTAATTAAACTCTCAACTTGTTAATTAATTTTATCGATATTCAGATGTCTTGAGTTTGAATCCTAGGAATGGTGACAATTCGTCGCAATCCAAGCTCATGTTATGTGTGTTTTTGGGCTCAATGATGGTGTAGTTTATACGTGTCATGCATGAGCTTGGGTGGTGACAAATCTGCGAGGTCTGTTGGCTCAAAGCAGATAATGCGTGTCATAAATTTCATGATAGATATATTGTCTTGCTTTTGAGTTCAATGATGGTGTAGTACTCTAAGGAATAAATTTGTGAGGTTTGGTGGACCAAAGCGTATATTAATATGTGTTATGAGCTTGCATCGTGATAGTTTCCACCCTTAGTAGGGATTACGAGTGTTGAATATGAATTAGTCAGGCCGATAGATATTGAATACCATATAATAATACAATAAAGAGTATAAAAAGATACTTTTTATAGTTTGATATTATTATTGGCCACTTGTCTATGAAATCATGTGATTGATCACCTATAAAGTGTTGGAAAATTTAATGAAAAGAAAGTAAGAAAATAATTTCAATTTTTTTTTTGTGTGTGTAATTTAGAGAAATGCACACTTTTTCAGAATACATACAAAAAGAAATGTGTCAAATCAACTTAACCACAATGATTAGTATTCAAAACCTAATATTTTGACTAATTCAAATTCATCTCATAAAAAAACAGTATAGGGGATTTTAGTGTTCTTTACCAGGAGGATTTCACTTTCAAGACTCGAACTTGTGACTCTTGATTTAACGTGGAAGAACATTTACCATTCCTCCTCATCCCTTAGCCAATGCTCTTAAATTACTTGATATCAGTATTGATATTATTTTTTATAGTTTATACTGACAGTACATAGAACTTAACGACGTTGTAAATGTATTTGATTGATTTTGTAGGAATTTGTTAAAGCAGTAATTGCATATGCAAAGAAGCTTAATGGTCCTGGAAATATACCAAGTAGAGGTATAAAATTCAACCATGAATTAGAGAGCAAAAGAAAAAGCATTGTTAAAAGTTTTTCAATTGCAAAAAATATGTATAGCAATGGACTTGGCAGAATTTCAGAAAAAGAATCTGAACTTGAACCTGGAGCTGAATTTCTTGAGGTACAATTTATTTTTATTTTTATATATATATATATATTTCAAAAAATTTCGGAGCAACAGTAAAGTTGTCTCCATGTAACATATAGGTCATGGGTTTAAATAGTCACTAATACTTGCATTAGCGTGGACTGTCTGCCTCATACCCGGGGTGCGACCCTTTCTCAAACCCTACTAATGTGCGGTTATACATAAACATGTTTTTCATGGTTGACCCTACTACATCATGAAAGTCCGTGTACATCATCTTACCCTCCCTAGACCTAGCCACTTGCAGGATTAGATTGGGTATATGTTGAATTCTATTGGTTTACGCTTTTAGTAGTTCAGTTAGTTGACTACCTGAACTTTCAACTTAGTTGGTGAGGGTTTGATTCTACGACCACTTTGTAACCTTTTCCTTCATTTCCCTTTCCAGTACCCAAAAAAATGAATACATATAGTAAAAGCGTTCATTTGGAAGAATTTGAACCTACTGACTCTAGATTCTGAACGGTTTTGCGTATAACATGTAGGCAAATACAGCATTGAGTGTACAACAAGAGAATAGGTTGAAGCAAATGGGAGCAACAGTGAGGAATGCATCAACATACATGAACAGATTGAAGATGAATGAAGAAAGAGAAAAAATGGCTAGGGCTATTCTTGCAAAAATGTCAATTGAACAACTCTCAGATATGGTTAGTTTTTATCATAAAATGGGACAACTTTGTTCTGAGGCTTTAGACAAAAAGTTCAATGACATGGAATTACCTTGAACTAAAAAGCAGCTCGGTGCACTAAGCTCATGTTATACGTGAGGTTGAGGGAAAGATCGAACCAGAAGGGACTATTGAACTATACATATCTTTTCCATTGTAAAATTGTGTTTTTTGTTCTATAAAATCTCTCTTCATATTAATGATATTAAATCAAGTTTTTTGTTTCTTTTTGTTGGTTGCTAATCAAGTGTTTATGAATTAATTGATGGTCACAAAAGCGTTACTTACACATGGATTTTTCATCTAACAACTACAACTACGTCTCAGTTTCAAACAAATTAGGATAGCTTTCATCGACAATCTTTTTTTTTATTATTATGCTGAGAATTATTCGAAGTCTAACGTGACAATTGACAAAAAACCACATAATAAATTGACTTATTTTACGTTGATTGCCTACGAGCTATATGAGCAAGATCACAAAGACAAAGAACTACTTGAATTGCTACTAAGTAGCAAGTAAAGCATATTATCTTTCCTTATGTGACGCATCAACCTCACACCTATGTTGCTCAGACTCTTCAAAATTTTCCGCCAAGTGCATGTGTCAGATCTTAGCAAATTAGTGCATTTTTGGAGGATTTGAGACGAGTGTGACAACATTATTAAAAAGTTCAAACATAGCCTCACAACGATAAGAAGGCCGCCACTATATTTCAGTCTCTTCATTCACACTGTAACACCAATGGATGACTAATCCTGTAGATATAACAACAACAACAACATACCCAGCGCAATCCACAAGGAGATTCTAGGAAGGGTAGATTGTACGCAGACCTTACCCCTACCTTTGTGGCGGTAGAAATGTGGTTTCCGATAGACTGATACTGGAATAAAGGCGCCACGAAATGTTAACCAGCAGTCAAGCACCAAGAACACACACCAATAAGTCAATAACTCAGTTTTATCACCAAGAACAGATCAGAAAGAAAAAATATAAATGCTGAACTGCCCAGAAAAACAACAAAATAAAAGGCACGAGACAGAATTATACCTAAATAGTCTATTATTACTAAATAAAGTCAAATAAAAAGTAATGTACATGACATGGGGAAGCTACATTTCACCACCATATATAGTAGCTCTATCAAAATATGCTAGAATGCTAGTATAAATAACACACCAACAAATTCAAGGCAGTAAAAACAGCCAGCTCTCTCTACTATAAACCGAAAATGAGGAGCATTATGGTGCCATCTTACTATTATACTTTCAGTCCTTCGATCACCTGCATAAGCATTGTTACTCATCAGCTCATCTGTTACCGATCTTTTATTTGTAACTTCCCTTGAACTTCTGTTATGTTACTAACTTTCCACTCCTTTCCCATCAATATTCAGACCTTGCCTGAGGGCTGGCTTTCCATTTACGGTTTCTTTTTCTTCTTTTCTTTTTTTTTTCTTTTTTTTTTTTAATTTTATTTTGCCTCGTAGTATAGATAACAGCATCGTAACTAAAGGTTAGAGCGAATCCTTAAGTCTTAACCCATTTTTCCTTGGAAAATCAACAGCTGTATCAACCACAGAGTGGTTCTCTAACCACAAACAGAGGAGAGTATCTCATTTTCACCTCTGGCAGAAGAAACTGAAATCAGGGTGATTGACCTGAAGAAGCGTTAGCCGGTTATCAGCAGCTTGTAAGAGCGAGCTCATTAACTGTCTTCCAGGTCCGCCATTTGGAGTCCAAAGTGACGCTTTAAACTTGTATGAAGCAAGGCCAAAAGCAGGTAGTGGAATCTTAGGGGCAGCATCCATATCAGTTGGACATGCAACAAACGCGGTATGACCACTTTGATTTCCTGCAGAAAGTTCATGTAAAATTTCAAAAACACATTTGCAACAGAACAATTTAGTTAAATGCTACAAGCAACCCACTCTAGGCTACTGTAATACACACTCTTAACACATACTTCACCAGATTTGTTCACCGGGACATACATGAATAACAAAACCAAAACTCAAGGAGAGGTTGGCTTCCAAGTTCCAACATGCTAGCAAAGAGCTAATGAACTTAGGGTGGACATCTTTTTCGCAACAAACTCTTTTTTACCAGATTAATGCCCCATTTATAGCCAGGAGAACATGCTAAACTCGCCAGAAGACAACATTGCAATTTTGGAGGATATCAGATTTAAGGCTTCATAAGTCATTCAAACCAAACAACACTGCATGACACAAACTAAGTCTTGTGCTAACTTCGCTACTGATGATACCAAACTCCAAAGCTCTGCCATTCTATTCCATTAAGATTATATCTTTCAAGAAAAATAACAAAGTGAAAAGAATAAGTTAGCTTCTTATTCCTATTAAGGACTGAGACAAGCCTTGGGACTCGGTTCAAGTGGCAAAGGTTGAGGGTCTTGTGTTAGGCCAGAAGTTCAAGCCCTGCACCATGCAAACTATGCCTGGTATTTAAGTGGAGAAGGGTAGAGGAGAAGGCCTATTATCCCGAGTTTCAAAGGCTGTGATTGGTCCTAACAGTTAGCCAGGCGGATTTTCTGTCAAAAAAAGAAGAAGAGGAAACCTCGCTACACAACTTCCACAGAGGTTATATTTATGTCTCTTATAGAACTATTTTGGAGCCTTCTTATAAATCCGTATTCCCATGTGAGATGAGTTAAATATATTGATTGCAATGAATCTATGAAATTGATGCAGTCAAAAATTCTTCGTTTGACAGCATTAATTCTCTTCTTCTTTTTTTTCTCGAATAGATTAAGGAAATATATGAATACCAACATACTAGTACAGATGAACATACATATGCAAATATCAAAAAACACTACATCACATTATGAAAAGAATAAACATGGAAAATTGCGAAAGGGAACAGAAGAAGCCACAGTTGTAATATTCACCGAAAAAAACAAAAGCAATTTAGGGTGGAAAATGCCAAATACCTGGCATGGGTGTATGAAGAGAATGAAATGTCAGAAAACAAGCATCCAGAGCTTTTAAAGTAGGTCCCGTAGGTATCCGGTAAATTGGATACCTGCAAAACAGACATCAGCACATTAAAATTCAGGGGAAAAACAAGTATACATCCTGATATGAAATGGGAAAGAAAAGCAAAAATACCAGGCCACAGAAATCCAACTGTAATGAAGGAGATCACAACTTCTCATTGTTTTTAATTCGGGGAAACGTTGGGCAAGATCAGATATCTACAGAACACGAAACATAATGAGGATATGAGATAAAACAAAAAGACAAGAAGAGTAACTTATCCATTACTCCCTATCAATGAAATAAACAAAAAATGACTATACTTTGAGGGAGAAGGGAGGAAAAGACCAACAATCTTACTTATCAAACAAAAAAAAGACCAACCTTGTCTGCCAAAGGTTCACGACCATAAGGCTGATCGTGTGCAAAATACTCAAACAGCAAGGCACCTTGAGAAGACCCAGATTCACCCTCATCGCTTGAAAATCCTTCTTGGAAGGTAGCATTACTGTCTCTTAATGATAATCCATCGATACTAAGAGAGCTTTCACTTGCTTGGCTATGATACATCCGTTGCTCCCTTGAATAATTCAAGCAACGTCTCTCGTGTTCAGAGTCACTACTTCCATCACTACTAGAATCCCGAAAATAGTCACTATCACTCTCCTCACCTGGTCGCCTACTATGCAAGAGAAAATGTCAATTCAATATCATATGTTTCTTAAAACTTCTCAATCAAAATCTAAACAACATCAATTCAAGGTTTCAGACCCTTTCAGAAAACAGTAGGTGAGTAGTAGTATAGGACAATCTTTGAGACAGAATCATGTGCATTTACAACATAAGCACACGCATGAAACATGAGATCTAGCTATATGCCACATGACCATCCATATACTAGCTAAAGAAGTGCATTGAGATCAACAATATCAGGAAAGCACAGGATGATATCAACGATGCATCAGAAAGAAAGATGAATGTAGAAGAGAGGATGGAAAATAGCAATTCCATAGCATTTGACCAAATATTCTGCTACTATTTTCGAAAGCAGAAAAGGCACATCGAGAATAGGGAAAGGCAGACTCAAGAAGAGGGAGAGGGAGAGTAAAGCAAAGTGCAAATGAGAAGCCTGGTTCAGTGCTTACCATTAAAAATAGATGGAAAGAATATATAGCATGTTTTTTTATTGGTAAAACAAAATACTCCCTCCGTTTCATAAAGAATGACCTGGTTTGACTTGGCACGGAGTTTAAGTAAATAAAGAAGACTTTTGAATCTTGTGGTCCTAAATTAAAGTTATGTCAAATGTACAAAATTGCCCTTAATCTTGTGGTCTTAAACATGCCACGTGGAAAGCAAAAAGTAAAATGTTACCAAAAAAGGATAGAGGTCATTCTTTTTGAAACTGACTAAAAAGGAAAGGAGGTCATTCTTTGTGAAACGGAGGGAGTAGCATTTATCATTCTTAGGGGTAGTTTGGTACAAGGGATAATAATCCCTGGATAAAGTGCATAATGATTTTATATTGCGTTTGGTTAGGGCCTTAGGGGTATTAATTTAGTCCCGGGATTATTTATCCCACCATGTATACTACAATGATGGGGTTATCCATATATATGGTGGAATAACTTATCCCATGGGATACCCCAATCATGGAATAACTTTGTTTATCCCATCCTACATACCAAACAACCCCTTCGTACTCGGTTTTTTGGGTCTTCCTGGTAAGATGGAAGTGTTAAGCTCACTAGAGGACCAAGTCGAACAACAAGTATAAGCTAACATCAAGATAATCAGAATAGCATGCAATTCAATCATTATAAATAATATGTATGTACATATTTTTAAAATCCTATATATATTGAATGTATGTATAAAAAATGGATATTTTAAAAAATGTAGCACTAGAGGACAGAGGTTCTCTTATCAGCTAGCGGGGAAGAGGCGACAGAAAAGCAAAACATTTACTCCCTAAATAAGGAAATTAGTTGAACATTTACTAATATGTTTGAGAGCTCATCAAAGAAGATCCTCAAAACAGTTAACAACCTCAAGTTTTGATTCATGTATTTTAATGGCTAGTACCGGCATGTCAAGCCTGGTTTACCTATAAAAAGATCTATACCATGCATTCGGTTCAAGGAAGGACCAAAACTATTGTTCTCTACCAAACCTAAAATGCACAGCACAGCTAATGAAAACGACTTCTTTACCTCATATTATGGAACCCCAAAACATCATTAATGTAAGCACAAAATTTTCTTAAAATATATATGATTCTGCTAAACATAAGAGCACGAACAAAATTTGTAATTTATCAGAACAAACTAAATAAAGAAAACAAAAAGTTGACTGGAGTCGCACTCGTAAAGTCAAGTCATACAAGGAGCAAATGGTGTTTCAAAACTCATAACACCGGGTAATTAATTTAGATAACGTAGTGTAGCAAATTGCACTAGTATCATGTAACAGAGGATGACTGTAAAAATTTGAATTCACTAAAGGCATTGGAGGCAACTGTGTTTATAGAGACGAACTCCAAATTTACTCTAGAACTCTCCACCTTTTCCACTATTACCCTATGAAGAAATCCAATCCTACAATCAAATTATCCAACTTGGTGGGCATCATATTCCCAAAGGTAAATTAAAGAACTTATTGACTGACCGAAAATAAAGTGATAAACTATTTATTTATTTAACTTACTGGGAAAAATTATTTCTCTTCATATAGTAAGCATGAGATAGCATTCCCCTGAACAAGAAAAAGAACAACAGCCAGTTTCTGTATCCGCATCAGGCCCACACTTTCAGTTCCATCTATATAAACTATGGTGACAACTGGACATGTTTTTGGACTCCTCAGATAGTGAGATGCAATAGGTTTTGCATCTATCCGCAAAGACTAAGTGAGAAAGTACCCATTAGGTTTAAGAGCTGCCCAAGCAAAGGCTATGAAAGATCTTACAGAAGCAGCAGCCTACTGGTCGACAAAGAAATGCACAATCATGGTAAGAGGCCATCTAAAAAGACGACTGAGGTACTTGGTTAAAGAGCCACGCCTCGGAATCAGATACCGATTTGGATTCTTTGCAACCCACACATTCACCCAAAAGCTCATTCCAGATACAGTAAGTTAATGACATTATAAAAGCGGAATGAAGCAGGTAGACAATTTCTAGCCTCTATCTGTATGTCTTGAGAACTTTTTGCTTTCCACTTCTTTATTGAAAAGATGCTGATAGAACTATCTTCTCTTATCAATATTATGTAGAATTTTTCCACCAAAAACCAAAAACCTATGTTGCTCGAACTCTCCAAAAATGATGCCCCACCCGAGTTGGATCCTTCAAAAATGCACTACTTTTGAAGGATCCGACACACACACCATCAACATATTTGAAGAGTCCGAGCAACATTGCCAAAAACATTATGCAGTACCGACAAAGAGGAATTGGAAATGCGCACAAAGAAAATATCATGCAAAAACTTTCTCCTTGCTGAGTATCTGATAATGTACACCAAGATTATTATACACAATTTTGAATTAATGCCGCAACTATTCTGTATCCGCACTTTATGTCAAAGCAGATGATCATTACTTACAAAACCTAAATATACCCAATAATAATTGTGGAGCTGAAATAAGCATCAAGGAGCATACAGAAAACAATAGATAAAACAAAAACAAGCACCTTCAGTGTGTGGTATTGAGACTATCAATTCAAAGGCCAGAAAAATTGGCTGTGCCATGAGCAACAAAAAACTAATTTTAAACATGGAAGGAAAAAAACAAGCAAATATATACCTTGTTTTGACTGAAGCCTTTGAAGAGTCACCGTACAACTGAATACCTGACAAATAGGGTACATAGTACTGAACTGCACTATCACCTTCATCCAAAACCAATGGAACTCCAGCTCCATATGCACTCCACTCTTTAAAAGACTCCCATAAGTCGCCAAGTACATAGTAAGGCAGAAACTCCACATCACACGTCCTCCAATCCCTAATAGTTGTCTGTTACAAACACAACCATTTTTCACTCAAAACTTGTAATATTAACAACAAACAACAGCTAATTTTCTTTAACACTTAAATTTCCAACCACAGCCAATAGACTACAGTAAAATTATCAATCATACCCAGCAAAAGATTAAATTTTTATATCAATAAAACCATTTTCCAATCAAAACATATAATCTTAACAATGAATGGCAGTTAAACTTTCATTCCAACCAAACTCCAGCAAGCTTTAAACCAATACAACCATTTTCAATCAAAACCTATAATCTTTACAACAAAGAACAACAATATACCAAGTGTAATCCAGCAAGTGCGGGCCAGGGATGGGTAGAGTGTTCCCAGACCTTACCTCTACCTCGTAGAGCTAGAGAGGTGATTTCCGATAGACCCTCAGCCTAAATAAAGCATGACAGACAGTTTGAAAAAGGAGATATAGATATGACAGCAATAACAACAACGAAACAATACGAAATAAAAGTATTATACTTTTTGTACTAATCCAATCAATAGAACTCTTGAATAACTCATCGCTAATATAAACTCAAGTATTTTCAATCAAAACCCATAAAAAGAGTTTAAAAATCTAATTAAACAGCTAAATAACACAAAGCCATAATTTTTTTAAACCTTAGATAGATATTGAGCAGGAACTGAAGGAGTAACAGATTTCAAAAACCGCTCTAGATTACAAAGCGGCAAAACTTCCGATGTCGGCACGGCAGCAGCGACCGGTAACTCCTTCTTCGATTCATCGACGGCAGCCACCTTCATTTTCGTCTTCGCCGGAAAATTACTAACAGCAACATCACTCTTAGCTCTCCGTAAATTATCCTCACCATTAAAACTCCGATTAACATTCCGACGAGCCTTCGCAGCACTATAAAACCGATCTTCACCGTTAAAACTCCGATTGAACTGTAATCCACTACCCATCATCTCTTTATATGAAAAACCCCAAAAATCTCTATCTATATCCAAAAAAAAAATCCTTTTTTTCCTCTATATATATCGATAAATTGCAATTTATATATCGATTATCTCAGAAATTCTTCAAGAAAACGAAAAGGGGTTGATTAGGCTAATTGATTCTCGTAGAAATGAATCAAACGAGGAAAAATTAGCCACAACAAAAAAATTAATTAATTTGTTTTGGTAAAAGTTCGATGAATTGAGAATTTATATAAACCCTAGCAAATATTGACTCAGATCAAAATATTACTAACAAATATATTAATCAAAGAGCATGTGGATTTGTATAAAAAGAGAATTTTGTTTTGGATTCAAATAGAAAAATTGCAGTTGAAAATGGAGGAGAGAGAGAGAAAAGCAGAGTGACAGAATAAAATTGTATGGGCAGGGGAAAGTGGGAAGAAGAAAACAATGTTATTTGAAAAAAAAAAATAGTTTCATCTTTTCATTTTGTTAAAATCTTGTTCGGAGCGATATCTTCGAATGGGCCCTGTAAATTGCAATGCGTAATTTAGATATGATCGAAGCTTCAATGCAGGCTTCGAACATGGGATAAGAAACCAAAAAAATAATTATTTTGTTGTTCTATTTTTTTTATTCAGTGTTTGTTATGTATATTTTTTTCATTGAATGTTTTAACATATGTGTTATGATTCGTATAAATTTGAATTTACGTTAAAATGTTGTATATGTAATGAGGATAAAATTATTTTTGTATTGTGGAGTGTATAGGTTTGAATTCACGTTAAAAAGTTATATATTAAGGACTAATTGTGTTTTTATTATCTTATAAGATTATATATGTATTTGTGGATAGTATGAATTTGAATTCATGTTCAAAAGTTAAGTAGTCAAGATAAAATGCTCTCTAACAAAAATGAATGTTATGTAGTTAGGATTCGAACTCAAATTTTACTTTAACTACAATAGTACTTGTTGATACTTTTTATTTATTTTGTTTATTATTTGTTTCATATATTACATATAGCATAAATTTGAATTCATGTCAAAAGTTTCTCTTATTCCGTATGCGATATTTATATTATAGATTGTATCAATTTGAATTCACGTTAAAAAAAATTGTACATTGAAGATAAAATGCTTTCTAACAAAAAGGAATGTTACTTATTTAAAATTTGAACTCGAAATTTGACTTAGCCACCATACTTGTTGATATTTTTTATTTTGTTTGTTTGTTATTTTTACAGTTTATTTGAAGTAAAGCTATGATTTGAAAAGAAAATGAACTTATTAAATTGTGGTCCATATAATATTTCCTCTTTGAAAATAAAGTCTCATTATATGTTTGGAGATTGGAATATACTTGTGATGGAGAGATATTCTAATATGTTCATCTCATTAAAGTTTAATTATTTATCATAAATATTTTAATAAATCATAGTAGTAATTAGAATAAAATTTCTCCATCATTATGAACTATAGTAATATCAGTCTTATTTTTCTTGCATCTATTTTCATGTAAGAATTGATATATAGTTTAATATAAAGATTAATGTTTTAAAACTATTTCTTCACTCTCATTTTCATTTATTAGTTTTTGGTAAATTCTTAAAATTGTGTTAATAATTTTCCAAATACTTACCAACAAAATCATGGACCAAATTGGAAATAATAGAAGTCTACCAAATCTAGTGAAAAGATTATGGAAAGTGAGTTAATAATTCAATAAACTTTTAAAGCCATTGTGCACTTTATAATAATTAATAATTATTATTATAATTGCATTGAGTGTTCATATCATATCAAATAATAACATTATATGGAAATTATTATCATGACTCATAACAGAATGAATGAAATTTCTTTATCCTTATTCAAAAAGTTTCGTATTTAAATTCTAAACACAAAAAAGAATACGATACAAAATATTTTATATTTTTAATAAATCTTATGCGATATAAATTTAAATTAATTAAATCTTTATATGAATATTGAATACGAAATAAAAAATCAAAATGACCAATATAGGAATTATGTGAAAAATGAAGAGCTTTTATAGGAATATAATTTGGATAAGTGGAATATGAAACATTATCTATTGGGGTTAGGCCAGAACAGCAAAAATGGCTAAACCATAAAGTGATTGGCTAAAAGGGAAAACAATTGGATTTGTGAATGAAAAATAAAAAGACACGTGGCAATGAGATGTCAAACATTGTCGTTTTGTTACCTAAGTTATCATCCCATCTTCCAAGACTAGTAGTATGAGGTGGCGATAACAACGTTTGTTTGAACATGTTTTGACTCTTATCGGGAATAATATAATATGAGAAATCGAAAAAACGATCATTGCAACAAATGTCGTTATAAAGATCAATACAAATTTCAAGGACTTGATCGTAAAGTAAGTATTATTATTGAAGTTTAATTTTTGAATCTCCATGAATTATGGTGGAACGAATAGAATCTTTAATTCTTAAATAGAGATTCAACTCTATGCTCCAGTAGAAAGTTAGTGCCTTTGGTTCCCCTTTAGTTTGTCTCGCGATGTACAAATTTGAATTACTCAGTACGTCGATATGAGTATCACTTGGGGTGAGAAATAAAAATAAAATTGATTATGGAGTACATACATTTATTTTTTTCAGTATGCGCAAATGGCTTATTATTTGAAAATTATTTTATTACTACTAATATATGAAAAATTATTCAAGAATGAAAAGTGTATCTAATATATTTAATACTATCATATAAAACTTGTGATGTTATTTTCATAATCGTACCTTTAAAAAGTGAGATATTTTATCAACCTTCAAAAAGATAAAAATATTTTAGATCACATATATATGTCACATACAATTATTTTCCTTTCTAACATTAAGGCAAAAGTTTCATGGAAACATTGGAATATATATATATTTTATCATTGATAATTCGTACTTTTTTATTTATAAGGGATAAGGGTCTGAAAAATATCCTAACTTTGGTCGGATTTGTTGTTGCGATACTAAGCTTTCATAAGGACCTATTACCTCCCTACACTATTTAATACCGTATTTTTTACCCCCTAAACTATTTAATAGTGTATTTGAAAGGTATATATGTGCCCACGTGGACACATTACTATTTATAATTTTGTATTATTTTCTATGTCCACGTGGACAAATATTTATGTTTAAAATACGTTTAGGGAGGTAATAGGTCCTCATGAAAGTTTAACATCGCAAAAGTAAATCCGACCAAAGTTGAGATATTTTTCAGACCCTCATCCCTATTAATAATGAAATTCAATAAATTTGATTCTCCTAAAATTTACTAAAAGTTGAAAGATATTCCACTAAAATTTCTTTTTATTTAAAAGGTTCAAATTTAATTAAAGGATGAGTGATCATATTCATCCATTACAAAGTAATCCTTATTAACGGATAGCATGTAGTCGTTTTCAACATTACTTCTTATGACGATCGTACAAAAAGTCTAATTAATTTGTGTATATGTTTCAAAAAAAATATTACAGTTTGAATCTTAAATTTATGTTACATTTGTTCTACCACCATAATGATAGGTAATTTGTACTCATTTAAAGTGTTTCCTACGAGTTGTTATTATAAAAATATTACTATAGTTTTCAGCATATTGGATCTTCCAACATATGCTTGGACAACTGATTAATTATAACAAAAAGATTAGTACTTTATTAGATTATTTAATCACTAAAAGATAGTGCTGATTCTGCATGTGCATCATATTGGAACCCCACTTTGATATAAAAATGAAATAAAACATTTTTAGGGATTCTATTCACATTTAATCAAAGGATTTATTAGTTACTTATTTTTTTTAATAAAAAGAGTTATATGTAGTTTCTTTTTAGTCAAACACGAGATTTTTATATGTGAAAAATATTGTTAGATTCACTTTTTTGCTTCGATTATAATTTTTTTTAATCGAAGGTCTATTAAAAATAAAATCTAATTTTAAAAGATACGAAGAATATAGCGTATTTCGTTTGCACACAAATACAATACTATTATTACATGTCATAAATATACAAATCATTGTTATACGTCGTAATTAAAGGTGAAACTATGGATATAAACACAATTTTATCCTCCAAACAAGCTAAAGAACAAGATTAATTAAAAAATTAAAGATAAGATTTGACACTAATTAAAATGTCACTATAATTAGATAACACTCTTATTTTAAAAAAATTCATATAATACATGAAAAGGAAATATGTCTTTATTAATGAAAACGTCCAACTTACCCACAAAATATTTGGTATCCACAATTCTCACCTAATTGTTAGGATTTGTAGGTCCCTATGGTCCATTAGATTTATAATTCCTCATTTAATTTGCAAATTGGATGGTTAACTAATAATTAATTCATTTTATGGAGTAGATGGACAATCAATGGCTATTTAGCACTTTTTTTTTTATCGTCAAAAGTTGCAGTGTGGTAGATATTCTTAATTAGAAGTTTAAATTCGAACTCTAAGAATAAAAAAAGAGAGTTATACAAGCAACACTTTAAATTTCATCTTTAAATGAACCTTGTGCTACAAAAATTTGAGTTATTCGGGATCAAAATGGTTTACAGGATGGCACATGGGATTTTTTAAATAAAAAAATCGGTCTTCTATGTTATCTTTTTCTGAAAAAAGTCTTAAAATTTGTTTAGGTGATAATATTATCATAGGATCTCTTCACCCTTAGCTAGAGGTTCCGAGGTAGAGTCTTGATAGTAAAATATTTTTTAATAAAAAAGTGTTTTTTTACATGCTAGAAATCATTGTGTATAAACTTTGAATATAGACGACGGAATTAGAGGGAGAAAAGGGTCATTTGAACTTTCTTCATCCGAAAAATTAAACTATATATACTAACTAAGATCAAGCCTTCACAATATCCTTATATAATAAATGCTAAATTTTCTTGTTAATATTATGTACCTAAAGCTATGTCGTAATAAAATTACATTGTTTATACGATGTCTTTCTTTTTATGTATATAAAAAGTAGGTATCATAAATGAAGAACAACGGTAAAAAAAAAATCAATCTTTGCCACTTACTTTGACTACAAGATAATTAAATAAATAAAAACTTAGAAAATATTCAATTCAATAATCTTTTCTAAGTTAAAATTGGAGTACCTTTCAAAACTTTGAAACAAATAATGATATTAAAATGAAGCAATATTCATGACCAAACATTTATAGGGAAAAAAACAAGAATTATAATCAGCAACAAAAAAGACAAAAAAAATTACTTTTAATACCTCTTGTTGTGACATGTTGACACTTCTTGTATTTTTCTAAAGTTGAGGTCCAAGCCTTTCTTCTGCCACATATATATGTTTGACCAAATAATAAAATAATCAAGGAAACCAACAAAATGAATCACATGTAAAAAAAAAAAAAAAAAAACTGAGAAGAAACAAAAACAAATGATGAAAAGATTTAGTGATGGCTTAGCTCGATTGAAAGAAAATTGTATAATCAATAATATAAATTAACTATTTGATCGT